CGAATATCTGGGTCACGTCATATCAGCAGCAGGCGTGAAGATGGATCTAGCAAAAGTTAATGCACTGGTGGAGTGGCCTCGGCCATGGTCTGTGCGGAAGGTGCGCGGGTTTTTGGGCTTGACAGGCTATTACCGGCGATTCATCAAGAATTACGGTATAATTGCAAAATCACTCACCAATTTGCTGAAGAAGGAAGCAGCCACGGTATTTGAATGGACGAACGAGGCGGAGGCTGCCTGTTCCTCCCTCAAGAGGGTGTTCACAAAAGCGCCGGTACTTGGCATGCCAAATTGGCGGAGCCACTTTGTTATTGAATGTGATGCATCGGGCACCAGAGTGGGTGCAGTTTTAATGCAAGAAGATTGTCCTATTGCTTATTACAGTAAATCCTTCGCTGACCGAACCCTTACCAAGTCTGCTTACGAGCGTGAATTGATGGGATTGGTTCTTGCAGTATACAACATTGGAGAGCTTATCTGATGGGCCGTCGCTTTACAGTTCGCACCGATCACAACAGCCTCAAATTTCTTCTGTTGCAGAAGATTGTAGCGCCTTCTTAGCAGATTTGGGTAGCAAAGTTGATGGGGTATGACTTCACAATTGAATATAAGCCTGGACGCACCAATTCGGCTGCCGATGCTTTATCGAGACGTTGGAGCAATGGTATGTTGGTGGCTATTAGCAGACCAGTGTGGGCTAAAATACATGATGTTTGGGAAGAGCAGCGCGGCGATGAATACATTCAAAACATTGTGAAAGAGTTACAGGAGGACACAAACAGCTGCAAGGGATTTGAACTACAGGAAGGACGGCTATTTTTTAAAGGCAGGTTAGTATTGGCATCTATTTCAGAGTGGATTACAAAGCTACTGCATGAGTTTCACCGCCCACCAGAAGGCGGCCACTCAGGAGCCCTTCGAACATATCGCCGTCTAGCCCACAATGTGTATTTGAAAGGGATGTTCCGATGAGTGTGAGAATATGTGGCTAAATGCTTATTCTGCCAAAAATCGAAATATGAAGCTATGTCACCTGCAGGGCTGTTGCAGCCCCTACCCACTCCCAGCCTAGCATGGGAAGACGTTGCGATGGATTTTATTAGTTGCTTGCCCAAGTCGTGAGGATATACATGTATCTTGGTGGTGGTAGATAGGTTATCAAAATATGGGCATTTTTTGAGGCGCTGAAACCACCGATTACTGCACGCGCAGTGGCTGAAGCATTTGCTTGCGAAATTGTCCGACGTCATGCTATCCCGAGGTCCATCATTAGTGATTGGGATCCAATATTTGTTAGTTCCTTTTGGAGAGAATTGTTCAAGTTGTCCGGCACTCACCTAAAATATAGCTCCACTTATCATCCTGAAACTAATGGGCAAACGGAGGTGCTGAACATGGTGTTAGAGACATACCTGCGTTGTTTTACCTGCGAGCAACCAAAAAAGTGGCTGCATGGGTTGCCTTGAGCAGAGTACTGGTATAACACTTCTTATCAGACAACGGCTAGAATGTCACCTTTTAAGGTAGTGTATGGACGCCCTTCACCTTTCATACAACGAACATTACCAGGGGAGTGCCAGGTGGCAGCAATGTCAGAAACTTTGCAAAAGTCGCGATGAATTATTATGCCGGTTGAAGGGGAATATGAATGAGACGCAAGCACAAATGATAAAATATGCTAATCGTTCTCGACGCGATGTGAGTTTTGAGATAGGGGATCGGGTGTTCCTAGTGCGCCCATATAAGCAGACTTCCTTGGCAAAGCAATCTCATTAAAAACTCTCCGCGAAATTCTACAGCCCCTTTGTAATAGAAGCGCGTGTCGGACCAACTGCATATCGGCTTGCTCTACCAAATTCGAGCCGCATACATCCTGTCTTTCTTGTATCGCAGCTTAAGAAGGTTGTGGGAGATCACCTTGTTGAAACAGAGCTTCCTAAAAGTTTGGAGATAACACTTACCCCAGCATTTGAACCGGAAGCAGTACTGGCGTAGCGTAACGTGTTACTCAGCCAGGAGGATGTCGAGCAGATTCTAGTGCAATAGGTTGGACAGCCAGAGGATAAAGCTACATGGATCAACGTGCAGTAATTTAAACAACAATTTCCTCACTTCAACCTTGCAGACAAGATTGTTTCGCAGGGGGAGTGAATCGATAGAGAACAAGAAGTAAATGGGCAAGGCCTGCAAGAAGACAACGAGTTGGGTCTGCAAGAAAGAGAACCCCGTCTTTTGCTGGTGTACCGCCGACGCCAACAAACTTAATTTAGGAGTTGAATAATCATAAAACCTTAATTGCTCTCTTTATTACTCATAGAGAGATTTAAGGGCTTAAATAAGTCTAAGGAATCAATAAGCATTGATGAGGAGATAATTAAGGGAGTAGATTATGAATAACATTGATGAAGGAGGATTTGGGAAGGGAAGATATATTAATATATATGTATTAAGATAGATGAGAAAGGGAGGATTGAGATAAGATTTGAGCCATAGGCTGGAGTAAAACAGTAATTTTCAAATTCCTTAAAAAATTAATCTACCATGATGCAAATATTGGAATAAAATTTTAATACGGCAAATTCTGAAGATGATTTGTGGTGCCAAACCACACATGTTGGCCTAATTCCAAGCTATGTTTATATTCACACAGGCTTGGTCCTTTGCAAAATGCCCTTGATGCAGCCTAAGCACACCAAGTCAGTTTACATATATAATCCCACGTTAGGTCATTAACGGCCACAGTAGCAGTGTCTGTTAAGAATTTGACGGAATGCTAATAGTGAGTTTATATTTTAATAAGACCAATAACGAAACTAAGTTAAAATGAATCAAAAGAGAGAGTAATGATGACTTTGTCCTTCTGTTGATCGATTTTATAGTTGTGACATCCCGGCCCGCAAGCTATGCAAAGTCGGGTGTCGGGATTGTAAACTAGCCTCACACGTAACACAAGTCCTTTCAACGCATGCACACTCTGGGAGTTATTTCAGTAGGACTTTCGAAAAAGAATGTGTACATTGTTAACATAAGTAGTTTATTCAATCCGTACACGACGCAGAAAAGGAAGAGTGAGGATTACTCTAATAGACAGACTGCAGAACAGAAAGCGCTACATCTTTAAGCAGTGCTCTAGCCTTGAGGATCTTCACTACAATAAAAGCTCTTTAAGCCATGGTGAACTCTCTCTTACTATCAGGCTAGCTAAACCCCTCTTTCTCTTCCATGCGCCGGGCCAACCCTCCTGGGCAATCCTCTGTTTTGGCTACCTCTTTTAAGCTAACTCTACTCTATGAGATTTGCATGGAAAAGCCTCTCAAAGGCTAACTCTCTCTTCTTAGCCAGCTTTCTTTTGATTCTTGGCTTCTTCCGCTTATTCATCTTCGCCGTCGGTCAGCTTGCCTCCCTATAGTTGAACGGCCCGCACAACCATAGAGAACGAACAGGAGCACGGGCTAGTCGCCCCTGTTCTAGCAACCACTCGGGGGTGCTGTGCCTTTCCCGCCCGGGTCTATCGCTCTGTTTATTAAATGCCTGCTATTAACCTAGCCCCACCAACTGAAGAAACGAGCCTCCGGGATCTCCTGTAAATCCCCATGATGTAGCAACGAGTCAAGTATATCGAGATGAGAAATCTTTCTTCTTGCGCTTAGGGAAAAGAACTGCAGCATGTCCAAACAACTGGGAAGGGGGGACAGAACCTGGGAAGCAACATCCAACCCACACTTCACTTAGTTACTCTTCTAGTTATTCAATCTCGAATGGCCCGACAGCAGCTCATCCACAAGAGCTGGTCTAGCACCAGCCTAACTCCGGGAGTATTAAGGTAGCACTTTGACTGAACTATGAGAAATTTATCTAGTGCAAAGTAAAAAGTGTATATAAGATTTTAGGATTGAAAATGATACTTTTCATTTTTATTTATTTTTTATTTTTTGGCATTCTGTATGGGTGTGGAGGCTAGCCAAGTCAGAATTTGGTGTGCAGAAATATTTTCACAAATGATTTTCATTCATTACTCTGTAAAGGTCAACCGGGGTATTCCACTAGGCTTTGGGTCCCCAGCACAATGGTTTGTGCGGATGTGGGACTTGTAAAGAGGTATTTGGTGCTAGGTAGATCTGGGTTCCATCAAAACTAGGCAGGACCAAGTATTGTTAAACCAGCAAAGATCACCCCTGCTACCTTGCCTATAACAGAATCTTTATAAAGTTTAAGGATAACCTATTTTTTTAGTCTCATAACTAACCATTTTTATCATTTTAGCACTTTAAGTGGACCATGTTTGAAATTTGTCCGGTAAGTAAAAAATTTTCGCTAAAATGGTCCTCCGGTGTCGGATTTGCCATGTTGGCCAACCATTGCTGACATGGCGCTGACGCGACTGACATGTCATCGCCATGTAGATGTTACGTCGGAGGACCATTTTAGCGAAAAAATTTTATTTAGAGGACTATTTGCAAACAGAGTCCATTTAAATGTCCTAAAAATGATAAAGAATATCATATATAGGACTAAAAAAATAATTTACCAAAGATATTTTATAAAAAAAAAAAAAAAAATTTCACGTGTCGCTGACGTGGCATCTACGTAGCGATGACATGTCAGCCGCGTCAGCAACAACGAGCCAGCGTAGCAAATTTGGCACCGGAGGACCATTTTAGCGAAAAAAATTTACTTACGGGACTATTTTGAGACAGGGTCCGCTTAAAGTTCTAAAATGATAAAGGAAGTCAGATACGGAATTAAGATAATAGTTTACCCTAAAGTTTATAAACAGCAAGTAAGATACTTGTATGTATATGCATCCACATGTAATATTCACATATCATATGGGTGAAGGAAATGGCAAAGGCATGAAAATCTACCAACAATTTGCAACAGGCACATATTGGCAAATCCTTGCTCGTGATGTGCATGACTGTAGATCTTTGAACCAAAAAGAGATGAAAAACAAATAGAACACAGTACTTGTAGAAGAGAAGCAAAATGATAACAAATACCTCATCCAATATGATGCGCTCCCAAGTAACTGAATGCAAAATGGACTTTCCTTCAAATAATTGTTGCCCAGCCATAGCTGAATCTTCACCAGAACGGTCAATTTCTATTTCCTTGTCACCACTATCAGGTTTCTTTCGTTTGCCAGACTCTGTTTTACTTGTACTAATCTTAATGGCAGGCACTTTCTTTGGCATAGGTTCTTTCCTTTGCTGCTTTGATTGTTTAGAAGTCTTAACCGCACCAGGCCCACAGTGATACCTCAAATGGATTTTTAACTTTTTATCATAGAATAATTTTCCACAGTACTGGCATTTTGCTTTAGGGGGCATTACATATTTTCGATATTCAGCCTCGACAATGGAATAAGTTGTTATCACAAAGTCATACTCAGAAAATTGATAATGATTTTTAGAACGGTTGGCCCCATGATAAACAAGCACCTTGGTGCTTCCTTCTGATGTGAACTTTTCAATCTCACTTACCCACTGCATCACAGCCACCAAGGGACAGATAACAAGTGTGCCTTTTATTGGTGGTAAACCTTCAACGACACTGGCAGAAGATCCAGGTCCGTGCCCTTTGACAACACTGGAAGAAGATGATCCATGCCAATGATTTCCTATACTCATACTTCTTTTGAGAAGAACAAGCGATATTGCCTGGAGGGTCTTGCCCATCCCCATCTCATCTGCAAGTATGCCGCCCCTAACAGTAGACGCCTCTTGTTTCAGCGCCCAAGCTAGCCATTCTTTCTGGTATCTCAGCAATGGTATGATCAAATCATCTGAAGGATCAACAGTTTCTGAAGACATTTCGTCCTGTTTTGTTAAGTCTGTATCCAAGTTTAGGTTCTCGGCAATCCATTTATCATCTTCCTGTTCCATTATTTCCCATTGTAACACAGGTTTTATTTTCTTTTTCTTACCCCTCTTTTTTCTCACAGGTTTCTCTGCTGGGACTGCAGGTTCAACCAATCCTGCTAGTCCAGCAGCTATTTCAGCATCCATATCTACATCTTTTTCGTGATCTCCCTCTTCTTGGTCATCCTGCGACTTGCGACCCTGTTTGCTCCTTGACTGGGAATTACCTTTTCTTCTCTTTGGCACATTATCCAGAAGATCATCATCGCTGATTCTAAATGAGTTCTCTAAAGAAGAATTTAGGAACTCCTCTACTGCTGCAATTTTATGTACAAGGCCGTAGTGAGTCTTGGCTCCAAAACAGGAAAGGTGAATTACTAAGTTGCAAAAAGGAAAAATACAAAAACTGTCACTAATCACTACCATTGTTGCAACAGAGAGATTCGAAACTGAAACATAGCAATTGCAGTTGAATTATCTAATAATAAAGGAAAAGAATGATCAACATTCCTAAAAGTCACCAAATACAATATTGTTTTACCAATACATGATTTTAAGATCCATATCAGGCTGGCAATATTAGTCAATCTTCTGGCTTGCAATAATAAATGAAGACTGCTTAAGGATAAAATGTACATTGAATTTTAACACCAAGGTTTCTTTATCATTATGTTCTTACATTTCTACCACAAATTTCAAGACATTAATATAGAAGAGTTGAATTTAGGTAAAATTTCTTTAAGGAGAATGGTAACAAAATTGAATAGAAATTTGTAGAATTTTTCAATTTTTGAAAGAAAGAAAAGGTCAGCATGAAGTAAATCTAAGGGATAATATCACAGCTATAATGATAAAATGCTTCTTCATTTTCCCATTATGGCTCATATAAACATGGAAAAACATTTAAATTAAAAGCCAAAATATGCATGACAATCATGATGGGATCAGATTTGCTCTTTAATTTCAGCCACAGGTCCTTAGGGTAGAGAAATTTTCATAGCGCAGGCTGAATGCTCAAAGAAGAGTTACTTAGAACTCAGTAAATGAAATACATCTTACATCAAGTTAAGAGGATAAGGAAACAAATCAATCCAGCACCTTGAAACCATCAAGGCATATATGTATACATATTATACATACTCACAAAACATCTTACACTCAAGAACATTGTAAGAGATCCACATTAATTGGTACAGAAAACAAATGTTATTTTAGAATAATTAACTAAAATCATCCAAATAAAATAGTTAAATAAAGTTAGTAGTAACATGTTTTTGTTATGGATGTTGAAGACACTAAACAATTAAGAATTGATCTTGAAATTAAAGGGATGAAGTGTATAAGAAATCACCCAAATTACATCCTAAAAATGGCTATGGTTATGGTGCCATCACTACCATCAGAAAACCACACACATATTTCTTAAAACCTACAAATACATTTCAGAAGATCTCAAGATGAGATTAGCAAATATATATATATATATCTATATCTATATATATATTGGCTGGATTGAAAAGCAACCTAAACTTAGGGTGTGTTCTTTTATCCAATTTCTCATTTCAATCTAAAAATATCAAATCAAACGTCTTACTTTTCATTTTCTATATTATACTTAAACATAAATTTTAAGTTCAGAACATCTGACACCTATTTATATTTATTTATATTAGGTACAGCTATTCTAATTCAAAATATGAATAATTTCAACTAAAAATCCAATTCCCAAACAAACACACTATACATAATCATCATAAACTCATTAGCACCTAGCCTAAATCATACCCCAAGGCATACCTGTATCATCCAGCCCATCAGAATCATAATCAGGATCAGAAGAGGTTGGCACCGGACTATCACCGTCAGAACTGTCATCGTACTTAACCTTCTCTTTGCCTGCGTACCCAGATTTCAAAGCACAATCAAATCACAGCCCCAATCTTCGACATAACATCCACGCAACAAAATCGGTACTCGTAGCCCGACCGAACAACCCAAAAACAAACCCAAGAAAAAACCAAGCGAAGAACAGGAAGATTAATATCCCAAAAGCGTAAAGGTATGTACCTTTGGAAGAAGAGGCAGCGCCTAGGGTACGAGAACGGAGTTCCATCGAATAAAGCAGCGATGACGAAGCGAAGAAGTAGAGAAAAACAAAAACTAGGGCTGCAAGCACCACACCAGTTCACCCCTAATTATGGAGAGTGTTGGCATTCGCGATTGATGATGACTGTGAGCAAATGGGTGCACAGAAAAGGATGCGGAGATTCAGAGAATACCGGAAAGGAAAGGAAAGGCGCCGATTCGTAAGGATGGGCAAGTGAGAAATCTCCGCGGCGGGAAAGCCTTCTTTATATCGTGTAGTAGGTGTATATGAATAGACACGGTAAAGCTAAGCAAAGCGTGTACCAGATGCTTCATACTTCTGAAATGACCTTTTCGCCCTCCCATTCGGCTCACGTCAAATCCTCCATCTTTGTTTTGTTTGCCAAACGTGAACATTATTTCTTACCATATTTCTTTAATCAAATTTCTTCGAATTTATTTTCACTCACAAAACATCTAATCAAATATTATTTAATATCAAATCAAAATTAATTTTTTTCAAACTCAATAAAAAAAAAATACACCCTTACATACATGGCATGATATAACATGCAAATTAACTATGTCAGCCTATCGTCTAGCTTTAATTTTCAAGCGCCTTGCAATATCAATCTAATCTTGCTTTATATTCTAAGTTTAACTTTTTAGTTTAATTGAATTCTTCGAGAAATAATATTGTGTGTCATATATAAATGTATAACGGTTTTGAATAGAATGATGTAGCTAGAATATATCCAAAAATATATACTTTCAAGGGCTTCGGATCTCTATCCAAATGATTACTCTGCCCTTCGTGTCTATCCAATCGGAAGGCGATATGCAATCGGAAGGTGACACATAGCCTTCCTAGTTTTCATTTTTATTTATAATTATTTTAATAAAATTTTCAATGTTTCATTAAATTAGATATTTACCTCACAAAATAAGAATTGAAATTTTAAAATTGGCTCGTAATTGTTTCAAATTGATTTGTCACTCAAACGTCTCGTTGCCCTTCGTTGCCTCCAGTCGTCACCTGTAAATTTTCTTAGTCCGTTGTTATTCTCCCGATCACGAAATCTCTTTTGTCTTCCTGTTCTCATCGTTTCTTCTGCACTCTCCGTAGTAAAAAAAAAAAAAAAGGTATTTTGTTGTCCCAAAAGTGATGGTCTGGTGGTGTGAAAGTGGACTCCTAACCGTAAAGTTAATTATGATTTTAATTCTATTTTGAGTCCTAATTTTGTCTACGATTGAACTCATGTTTGCGCATCTGTCTGCGATTCTGTGATCCGTCTGCTACTTCATGTTTTTTTTCTTCAAGTCTTTGATAGCATCCATTGGACGCTATCTTTTAGTTGTCATCTACATTGAAAAGTATGTCTATTTAGGCTTAATTTCTTTTATTTATGTAAATATGTTATATTTTTCGCTTGTTTTTTTAATTTAAGTTTAATATAATAGTTTGTAGAATATTTAGTTAATTATGCATATATCTGACCACGGATGTCTTTTATATTAAAACCTTCGCTATGTCTCGATGTATGTATGAGGTTTGGGGCATATGTTTCAGGTTGAAAAAATAACAAAGATGAAGATAACAAGATGAGAGTGTAAGAGTTAAAACAAGATAAGCAATGTGTAGCAAGCATGACATAATAATAATAATAATAATAATAATAATAATAATAATAATAATAATAATAAGGGATTTGGTGTGGATAGTCTTTGCGCACAGTCTTGGTGAAGAAGTTGGAAAATTAAAGACGCAATTTTTCATAGAAACGTTGTGCTAAGGGAAAAAGAAGCAGATCGATTTAACGGAAAGGAAGAGAAGAAAAAAAAAAGTTGAATTCAGAGAATCACTCGTTTGGACACACGCAGTACTTCTCTTCATCCTTGTACATAGTGTTCTTTTCTTTTCTTGCCCTAGATTAGGAAGTTCTGTTCGAAGATTGCTACATTAGTTTTAGTTTAGAAATTAAAGTTTGGGGACCGGATTGAATCTATATATATAATTCATCCTACAATCAAAGACGGGAATTGGATTGGATCTTGAAGTATGAAATTGTTATTCACATCCAGGAAGCAACAATATTAATTTATGAAAGCTTAATATTTATTTTGTTCATGAATTAAAATTTAAATTTCTGCATACATTTAATTGATGTGTTGATTGTTGGGAAAGTACCAGATTTGGGAAAGTATTCGGTTTTATATGAAAATATTAATAATGGGAATTTGTCGGGAGACTATTTCCATTCGTTATCCTTAATAGTGTTTCTCATGATCTTGGGAAAGATAGAGAATATAATTAAGAAATTATATTCATGAATAAGATAATATTACATTGGTGTGATTAATATGAATTTTAATTTTTAATCCAGGTTGCTGAATTTTCTTTAATATTCCTAATATGTATTAAATTCCTGAATATGTTTAATTTTACTCCAGATAGAATGATGAATTGGTTGGATGTAATTCATAAGTTTTAATGGTTTTATTCCCAAGTTAAATGAACAATTAATTATCGTATAACTAGTGCCATTTATGGGAATGTTGCAAACTTATAAGCGTTTGACTTGAATTGCTTTCATGTCGGGAGATGAGAATGCATAAACTATGTTGAGCCTGAAGTTTCATAATGACATTAAAATTTATTGAATCTGAATCATTAAATCATATATTTCATTATAATATAGCAGGTTATGCAATTTCTGATCAATAGAATTTAGTTTATTATATTAAATTTATGTAATTTAGGAATTAAAATTGTCAAATCGACATTTATTCATTTTAACTCAATTGAATTAATCTTTAAATGACATAAAATTTCTATAATATGAATGAATATATTTAATTCCATGTGGATTCGACTCGGTATACTTACCGATTTATTACTTGATGCAATATCATACACTTGCGATATATTGCAATAAAATATTTAAGTATCAAGTTTTTGGCGCCGTTGCCGGGGAATTAAAGGAAATTTTGTGTGTTTGAAGTTTATTGAAGTTGAGTATTGTATATATTGTTGTATAGTTGTGCGTGTATATATATATATTAGATTCTTTAATTGTTTATTTATTATTCTTGCAGTGCGACGTGCTCGAGGGAGTGGATTGCTCTTTGATCCAGAAATAGAACGAACTTGTAGGGAGAATCGGCTCAATAAGCGTAGAAGACCACCTCAGGTTGAGGTGTAAGTAAATTCATCATCTGACGACGAAAGAAACAAAGCAGTGAATTTGAGTCATTGTCAAGAATTAATTGTGAATATCCCTTTCGCTCAGGCCATAATCTGGACAACATGAATGGTCATGAAAGAAATAATCAGGAGAATGGACCAGTTGCGCTAGAAAGGACAATTGAGTATCATTTACAAGGAGGAAACAACACAAGGTTGAATCGAACTTCGAGGCCTATTATTAACGCTGATCAGTTTCAGATTCAGCCCGCCCTCAGAACCATGGTGCAGTCCAACCAATACAATGGATCTCCACCGAATGATCCTGTTGATCATATCACAACATTTCTTGATTTATACGACACGGTGAAACTGAATGGAGTTTCAGAAGATGCTGTTAAGCTTCGTTTATTCCCATTTTCTTTGTGAGATAAAGAAAAGGCATGGTATAACACCTTGGTGCTTCGTGAGATTAGTACTTGGGAGGAAATGCTGCGTATATTCTTGAACAGATTTTTCCCACCGGCGAAAATATTAGAATTGCAAGAGCGAATTAAAGAATTTATCCAAGAGGAGGATGAGAGCTTACTAGATGCATGGGACATGTATAATTCATTGTTATCTCGTTGTCCTAATCATGGTTTTGTTGATTGGCAGCAGGTCCACTTGTTTTACAATGGACTAACCGAGCAATGGAGAAATTTACTTGATGCTGCCATTGGTGACTCGTTCCTATCTGTTGGACCTACTCGAGCCAAGGAAATCATTGAGAAGATAGAAAACATGAAGAAATTTCCTGGGAAAAAGGCTGCTCGGGGAAAGGTTAGGGGGCTGTACGAAGTCGATAAAGAAGTAGCAGTGGAGTCTAAGCTTGATGCATTAATGAAGGAAGTAAATTTGTTAAAAAAAATGAGAAGCTGTTCCATCTCGTTGCGAATTGTGCCATGGCTGCCATGAGACAACAAATTGTCACTTATTGGATGGAAATATCCAAGAGACAATGCAATGTAAAAGGACCGAGCAACAAATCGGCGATATAAATTCTATCAAAAATCAGCCGAGGAATTTTGACAGTGCTTCATCTTCATACTACCAGCCTCAACCACAACACTTTCAACCAAATTCGTACTACCAAAATAACCAACAATACCAAACTCATCTTCAACCGCAATATAACCAAAACCGTAACCAAACCACTTACCAACAGCCGCAACAAATACCAAATCGACCATATCACCCTTAACAACAATACAATGGAAGAGGGCGGGATGATTTGAGCTTGAAGGACTTAGTTTTGGCACAACAACAGACCATTCACCAATTGCAAGCTTCGATGCGAAATCTGGAAGTGCAAGTAGGGCAGATTGCTCGTGACACTTCGCAGAGGCAACAAGGGACATTGCCAAGTATGCCTGACCCGAATCCAAAAGAGCATTGTAAAGCATTAACACTAAGGAATAAGAAGCAATTACCTGATCCTTATCCGAATTTGAAAGAATTTAGAGATTTTGTCGAGGAATCTACGAATTGGGAAGAAAAAGGGGCTGCTCGCGAAGGTGAGATGGCGGAAAAGTTAATGAAGGATAAAAATGATGAACTACATTTACAAAAGATCAGAGAAAAAGGCATGAGAAATTTGGAGGAAAAATCAATAGAGGAAAAAGGAGAGGCAATCAAGGCGTATCAACCACGCATTCCATATCCGAGCCGTCTGAGAACAGCACAAGAGGATAAGAATTTCTCTAAATTTCTTGAAGTTTTTAAGAAGTTGTGCATTGATATACCTTTTTCTGATGCTATTGCACAGATGCCTGTATATGCCAAATTTTTGAAGGAAATTTTGTCAAAGAAGAGGTCGGTCGATGATGATGAACGAGTGGCACTAATAGGGGAGTGCAGCGCTGTTTTACAAAGAAAATTACCCATCAAGCAAAAAGATCTAGGGAGCTACACAATTCCTTGTGTTATTGGCACTCATGAATTTAGTCATGCTTTATGTGACTTAGGTTCAAGTATAAACTTAATTCCGTATTCAATTTTCAGGGAACTGGGAGTTGGAGTGGTAAAGCCAACACGAATGCAACTCCAATTAGCGGACCGCTCCATACGAACACCATTGGGAATTGTTGAAGATGTTCCTGTCCAAGTTGAAGATTTCATCTTCCCGGTGGATTTTGTCATATTAGATATGAAAAAATATCTAGACATGCCTCTTATTTTAGGAAGACCATTCTTACAAACTGGGCGTGCAATGGTGGACATGGATGATGGAAAAATCACTTTAAAGGTTGGTGAGGAGCAAGTTTCTTTTGATGTGGCCAAGACAATTCAAATGCCGAAGGATGAGATGATGTTTACACTTGCAACCAAATCACAGCTATATATCTAGAAAAAACAGGTAATTTCACAAGAATTTAATGCTTTACATGATTCTTCATTTCATTTAAAAGTTGCCCAAGAAGATGTTATGGAAGTTAATTCAAAGGAAAATCAAAACATCATAAATAAGGACAGATTTGGATTAATTCCACTTCAACATTGGGATATTCCTAAGCTGGTCCCATCGGTTGAAAACCCCACTGATCTTCAATTGAAACAACTTCCTATACATCTTAAATATTCATTTCTTGGTGAAAATAATACTTTGCCCATAATTGTGAATGCTACTTTAAATGAACATGAATTAAGTGCACTAATGGCTGTTTTGAGAAAGCATGTGAAGGCCATAGGTTGGACAATCGCCGACTTAAAAGGATTGAGTCCTTCGCTCTGCACTTATCATATTTACATGGAAGACGACTACAAGCCCATTCGGCAGCCACAAAGAAGATTAAATCCTCACTTGTAAGAGGCTGTAAAGACGGAATTCATTAAACTACTCGATGCAGGTATTATTTATCCAATTTTTGATAGTGAGTGGATAAGTCCCGTGCAGGTAGTTCCTAAAAAGGATGGGATGACAGTCATTCAGAATGAGGATGGCGAGCTTGTGCCAACAAGGCCAGTGACGGGGTGGAGAGTTTGCATTGACTACCGACTGTTGAATGAAAAAACAAAGAAAGACCATTTTCCACTTCCTTTTATTGACCAGATGTTGGAACGTCTAGCAGGCCATCAATACTATTGTTTCTTAGACGGATATTCAGGATATAACCAAATTCCCATAGCACCCGAGGATCAAGACAAGACCACCTTTACCTGCCCATACGGTACGTTTGCATATAGGCGCATGCCTTTTGGGTTGTGCAATGCACCAACTACTTTTCAGCGTTGCATGATGTCAATATTTTCAAACCTTATTGAGTCATGTATTGAGGTATTTATGGATGATTTTTCTGTTTTTGGATCTGATCTTGAGAATTATTTAGAAAAGTTAGACAAAGTACTACTACGTTGTGAAGAATCAAATCTTGTCCTCAATTGGGAAAAACGTCACTTTATGGTGACTGAAGGGATTGTGCTAGGCCATAAAATTTCCAAAGAAGGCATGCAGGTAGACCGAGCCAAGGTTGAGGTGATCGAGAAGCTACCACCACCGAAGGATGTTAGAGCTTTCCGGACTTTCCTTGGACACGCTGGCTTCTATAGGCGTTTTATTAAGGATTTTTCTAAAATGGCTCTTCCTTTGTTTAAATTACTTTATAAAGATGTTGTGTTTGATTTTTCAGATCAATGTATGCAGGCGTTCAATAAGCTGAAAGAGGCTTTGGTTACAGCTCTTATAATGCAGCCCCCAGATTGGAGTTTACCATTTGAAATTATGTGCGATGCAAGTGGGTCGGATGTTGGAGCAGTGCTTGGGCAGCGGAAGGACAAAAGACTGCATCTTATTTATTATGCCAGTCAAGCACTTAATCAAGCCCAGAAAAATAACACGGTCAATGAGAAGGAACTCCTTTCGATTGTTTTTGCATGTGAAAAATTTTGACCTTATTTAATTGGTTCGAAAACAATAATTTCACTGACCATGCTGTTGTGAGGTATTTGTTTGCAAAGAAAGATGCGAAACCACGTTTAATTCATTGGGTGTTATTATTACAGGAGTTCAACTTGGAGATTAGGAACCGGAAAGGAGTCGACAACCCCGTAGCAGACCATCTTTCAAGATTGACAGCAGCCAGTGATGATAGATCCGAAATTTTAGATTTTTTTCCGGATGAAAGGTTGTATTCTATAGAATATTTGAAACCGGACCCATGGTACGCTGATTTAGTTAATTACTTAGCATGTGACATAATGCCTACACATTTGAAATGGAATAGCCAAAAGAAAAAATTTATACATGATGCTAAGTACTAATTTGGGATGAACCGTTTCTTTTTAGAATATGTGCAGACCAAGCAATTAGGCGATGCATCCCGGATCATAAGGTTTTGAAGGTGCTACAAGCATGCCATGAAGGACTTGGAGGAGGCCACGTGGGGCTGAACCGAACAGCTCATAAGGTATTGAGTGTGGATTTTATTGGCCTTTGATTTATAAAAATGCTCGTAACTTTGTGCAAAAGTGTGATGTTTGCCAACGTACGGGAAATATTTCTCATAGAGATGAAATGCCCCAAAAAGGCATACTTGAGGTTGAATTATTCGATCTTTGGGGCATCGATTTCATGGGACATTTTCCACCATCAAATGGCAAGAAATATATTTTGGTTGTTGTTGAGTATGTATCAAAATGGGTTGAGGCAAATGCATGTTCTACCAATGACTCAAAACAAGTAATAAAATTCTTGAAAAAGAATATTTTTACTCATTTTGGAGTGCCCCGAGCCATTATTACTGATGGTGGTTCCTATTTCTGTAACCGATCACTTAACCAGTTGCTTGCAAGATTTAATGTGCATCACAGGGTCACGACACCTTATCATCCGCAAGCCAACGGTCAAGTCGAGGTATCAAATAGAGAATTGAAAAAGATTCTTGAAGCCATTGTTGGTAAGTCTAGGAAAGAGTGGGCTGTAAAATTGGATAAAGCTTTGTGGGCTTATCGAACAACCTTTAAAACTCCTATCGGTATGTCTCATTTTAAATTCGTTTATGGTAAGACATGTCATTTACCTCTAGAGCTTGAGCATAAATCTTTCTGAGCACTAAAAAAGTTAAATTTTGATTTTAAAGATGCTCAAACAAAAGAGAAGATTGGATTTGAATGAGTTAGATGAGATTCGTCTTAGTGCTTATGAAAATGCAAAAATTTATAAGGAGAGAACTAAGAAATATCATGATAAATTGATTAAACCAAGGAGTTTTGAACCTGGACAGAAGGTATTATTTAATTCTCGTTTCAAGATTTTTCCAGGGAAATTAAAAACCAAATGGTCGGGGCCATTTAAAGTATCGCAGGTACTTGAATCAGGAGCAAGTGTCCTCCAAGCTGATGATGGAAGGGAGTTTACAGTAAATGGACAATGAGTTAAGCACTATTTTGGTGATGAAGTTTGGAGGATCGACCTAATATCGATGAGACCACCCATCGATTGATCAGTTTGATTTAATCACATTGCTAAATATCTCATTTCGCGCTGTTTTTGTTGTAAATATTGTACATGCTGTAAATTTATTTTATTTATTTATTTATTTTGTAGGTTTTAGTGTTGTTGGTAAGTGCATGCAAAGTGGAAATCTCCATGCAATGGTCGGGCTAGAAAACTATGGTCAGATTCACTATGCACCGATAATTGTTCAATTTTCGACTTGTAGCAAGGCGCTAGCAATGTATCAGGTGACATCTATTCATGGTCTATTTCTTATGTTCTAGTAAGGATGCTGTTAATTTATTTATGTTAGACATGTACATTTAGTAAACGCTTAGGAAAGTTTATATAAATGCATGCTTAGATTAGCTGATAATAAGGATTTCATTATCCTACTATATTAAGATGTACTGTTGTTTCTACTGTGGTATAGTTTGGGGAATATTTGGGTCGAAATGGCATACATTTTGGTGTAGATTACGGCTGAACCTCCATTCAACGTTGTTGAAAAATAACTTTTCCAAGATTCAACACTTTGTACCATTACTTAATAAATTAAATTTTCAGCCTTCACAATGATGAATCGAGTAATGTTTTATGTTGCTAACATGAATAAATTGATGGAATATTACTTTTAAACAAGATCATGCTTGAGTTTCTCCATAGGAAGTTGTATATAATCTTAGTTAGAAGTTGCATCGGGATTGTAATCTACGTGAATTATTTTTAGAGTGGAGTATCATAAAGGTATGCAAAAAAAAAAAAAAATCATCTTAATTATTGAGTGATTATCATAAAGCCAAAAAAAAATAAAAATGAAAAGAATATATAGAATGATTAAACTTGGCTATGATGATTGGCACGATGTTCTGCTAACACAAGTGGCTTTTTGGAATCCAACCGTCACGACTCAGTGAAAGTGTCATGAACAAAAAGGTTGAAGCCTCGTCCATGATAAGGATAGTGGAGCTCCTTTAAATTGTGAAACCGAATCATCAATCACTTGATGAAAGGAATGAAAAATTGTAGTGTACCTTATTTAAAAGCTCTCATGTCTAGATAAATGTCTTGATGTTAATTTCTCACCTATGGATTTTGTGTGACTGAGTATGCGATATTCAAGTCATCAAGTTTATGAAATTCCAGCCTTTAGTCATTTATGTTGCATAAAACCACTTGCTTCTATATTGTGAAGGCATTTATTCTTCTCTTAATGGAAATATGAAATTTGAGTGTTGGGTCTATGTATATTTTTGTTGCTCAAGGGACGTGCAACATTTAAGAATAAGGGTGTTTGATAGCATCCATTGGACGCTATCTTTTAGTCGTCATCTACATTGAAAAGTATGTCTATTTAGGCTTAATTTCTTTTATTTAGGTAAATATGTTATATTTTTAGCTTGTTTTTAAATTTAAGTTTAATATCATAGTTTGTAGAATATTTAGTTAATTATGCAAATATTTGACCACGGATGTCTTTTATATTAAAACCTTCGCAATGTCTCGATTTATGTATAGAAATTTTATGAGGTTTAGGGCTTATGTTTTAGGTTGAAAAAATAACAAAGACGGAGATAACGTGACGAGAGTGTAAGAGTTAAAAGAAGATAAGCAATGTGTAGCAGGCAAGACATAATAATAATAATAACAACAACAACAACAACAACAACAACAACAATAATAATAATAATAATAATAATAATAATAATAATAATAATAATAATAATAATAAGGGATTTGGTGTGGATAGTCTCTGCGCACAGTCTTGGTGAAGAAGTTGGAAAATTAAAGACGCGATTCTTCAGAGAAACGATATGCTAAGGGAAAAAGAAGCAGATTGATTTAACGGAAAGGAAAAGAAGAAAATAAAAAAAAAGTTGAATTTAGAGAATCGCTCGTCTGGACACACGCAGTACTTCTCTTCATCCTTGTACATAGTGTTCTTTTCTTTTCTTGCCTTAGATTAGGAAGTTCTGTTTGAAGATTGCTACATTAGTTTTAGTTTAGAAATTAAAGTTTGGGGACCGGATTGAATCTATATATATAATTCATCCTGCAATCAAAGACGGGAGTTGGATTGGATCTTGAAGTATGAAATTGTTATTCACATCCAGGAAGCAGCGATATTAATTTATGAAAGCTTAATATTTATTTTGTTCTTGAATTAAAATTTAAATTTCTGCATACATTTAATTGATGTGTTGATTGTTAGGAAAGTACCAGATTTGGGAAAGTATTCGGTTTTATATGAAAATATTAATAATGGAAATTTGTCGGGAGACTATTTCCATCGTTATTCTTAATAGTGTTTCTCATGATCTTGGGAAAGATAGAGAACACAATTAAGAAATTACATTCATGAATAAGAGAATATTAAATTGGTGTGATTAATATGAATTTTAATTTTTAATCCAGGTTGCTGAATTTTCTTTAATATTCCTAATATGTATTAAATTCCTGAATATGTTTTATTTTACTCCGAATAGAATGATGAATTGGTTCGATGTAATTCATAAGTTTTAATGGTTTTATTCCCAAGTTAAATGAACAATTAATTATCGTATAACTAGTACCATTTATGGGAATGTTGCAAACTTATATGCGTTTGACTTGAATTGCTTTCATGTCGGGAGATGAGAATGCATAAACTATGTTGAATATGAAGTTTCATAATGACATTAAAATTTATTGAATCTGAATCATTAAATCATATTGTTGATGCAAAATTTTCAACAATAAAAAGTAAAACCCGAAAATAGAAATTATCTTCGAATTTGATAAAATAAAATGCCCGAGATTAAGAATCCCTAGACACTGTACGATACATAAGTAAACTAGGAAAATAAATACTACAGACTGAAAAAGTAAATGGTGATTCCCAAAGCAATTCACTGAATTTGATGTCGATTGAAGATGCTTTTCCAGAATAGACCCAAATCTTTAAATATTCCCTAAAGAAACGTTTTGAACCATCGTCTGGACGGTTACAGCAACCGCCATCAACCGCCCACTAATTTCTCCTCCATTGACACGTGTTTTAACTGTTTCACCAACCGCTCCCATCAGTTACAGAACCCAACTTGCTCGATCGACCGCCTCTGGGCACCTTACCTCCTTAAATGGACGGCTGGTCCCGAACGACCACTCAACCGCCCAACATACTTTAGACAAACTATTTAAAACCTATGTCAACCGCCACAACCAAGTCGTTCCTTCATATCCGCTTGCCGGTTGTAACTTCTCTTAACCGTCTTTTCAGACGGATCATAAATCACCATCCGACTGAGAAACCGTCTGGACCATCCACTGATTGAACCTACCGAATAACCCAAAGATTGATCAACCGACCAATCCAGATACTAACTGGTTGCTAGACCAAACGACTAATCAGTTGCCCACTCGAGCGACCACCATTCGGTTCCTTCAAATAGCTGAACAACCATTCGTCCAGACGATTCATCGGTCGCCTAATCAAGCGACCACCATCCAGTCCCTTCAAACGGCTGAACAACCGTTCGACCAAATGACCGGCCAATCGATCAGGCGATTAAGCGACCAATTAATAGACCTTTCTTTGCCGGACCAATTAACAGACCTTTCCTCTTGTCCAACCTCCGTATCTGCCATCTCATCTTTCTTTGCCCGACCTCCTTTTCTCCGACCTCCATGTCTGCCCTCTCATCTTTCTTCACCCGACCTTATCTTGTCCAACCTCCTTATCGGCCGTCTCATCCTTCTTTGCCCGACCTTATCTTGTCCGACCTCCTTATCGGCCGTCTCATCCTTCTTCGCCCGACTTCATTTAAGACCCTACTACCATATCAGGCCCATTGGACTATACATCAATCCAATTTATAAGCCCATTCTCAAGAAACCCTATACATTGGTTTTTTCTTACTCAACAACTTGCCTCCTCCCGCCCGACTCCTAAGCGTCACTTTTCATGACGTTTAGGAGTTTGCAGTACAGTGCTATCATTACACTGTTTAATGTCACATCGTGGGGTTTATGTAAAACCCTTCTCTCACCTTTCCATATTTACGCACTCAAAATCTTGAAATTCTCCTTTTTATAGGACAACCCCGGGTCTCCAACGGCTGTCCCTCAACCGACCTCCATCATCCGAGGCCATGTCAGCCTCAAATCCGACCTCCATTTATCACGGACTGGTGGTGGCTTGCACGGTGGTCGATCTCGCACTACCATTTTGTCCTTTAACTCCACTTCGAAGGAGCCATCCTTTCCGTCCCGCTTCTCAGCCACCCTACTTTCGTAGATTGTGAACTTATTATCCTGGTCAAGCTCTTGTTCCTTTGGCTTGCGCTCATTCCGTTTGTTGTCTCCTTCATCATCTTTTTGTGGGCTCTGTGAAGAAGACACAGAGATCACTGATGCAGTAGTTACTTTTGGGAAAGGCTGCTGCTTCACTCCTATCGTCACGTATTTGAATCTTCCAACTTTGATCGCCCTTTGGATTTCCTTTCGGAAGTGCGTACACTGGTTTGTGTAATGCATAAAAGAGTTATGCCACTTGCAGTATGGCCTTCCCTTTATCTCATCCTTTGTTGCCAACTGTTGCCCCTTCGGTATGCGTATTTGCCCATCCGCTAGTAGAATATCGAAGATTTCATCTGCTTTGGATGCATCAAACGTCGGTTGTTCCCGCTCTTCTGCCCCTGGAAGGGGCTTCAATTTGGAACATACATAGGGCTTGTTGTTTACAATTTCAGCAACCATTTCTTCAGCACCTTCCCTTTGTTTTTCGTTTGGTGCATATATCTTTGTATCGACACTGGCTATTTGATGGAAGTTGTGATCCTTTTCTCTAAAAAGGGATTCTAAAATCCCCGCCTTTGATGCTAAATTGGCCAAATCTTGAACATCGTGGGCCATTAAAGCCTCCCGCAGTCGTGTATGCATATTCCTGACCACCAAATTGGTCATCTCGCTCTCCTCAATGATTATCGGGCAACGTCCCTTCATTAGTCGTATCCGCTCTATAAATTGGTAGGCAGTCTCCTCCGGCATTTGCCTGATTTCCAAGAGGTCTGTGAGTGAGACTGCCGGAAGAGGATTAAAAACCTTGCATTAAAGGCTGCTTCCAAGCCTTCCCAGGTTTGCAACTGCCCTGGCGGAAGATTAGCAAACCAGTAAAAAGCCATTTTTGTGAGAGATAATCCGAACAACTGTAATTTATGAAACGGATTATTGCCTACTTCCCCCAATTGAGCTGTGAACCGTCCCACATGCTCAATGGTCGAGGCTCCATCTTCTCCC